CCCCCCCCCCTGTGGGGGCCTTGATCTACCCCCCCCCCCCACACCCTTTCCGCCACAACGGACTTACCAGCTGTGTATACTTCTCCATGCTGCTGGGCTGCGCTCCTCGCCACCTATGTACTGTGCTGCAGTTGCATGCATGCACAAGCCATTTATCAGCCACATCAGGCCAATTTCTGATACAGTCAATTTTCTTTATATTGGTGCCAATCTGATATCTGACCAATGTATCGGTACACCTCTATCAATCACAACAGTAAAATTAATTCCAAGTACTGTACCTATAACTTTTGGTATTTGAATTAGGATTTTTTTATCATGGAAAATCAGAGCTCCCCCTGCCTCCTTAGCTTACCAGGACACAGGTTCAGGCCCTTCACTCCCCACCCAGTCCCCCTGGCCCTGCTGGTGCCCCTTGCCCCTCACCCACAGCCCCCTGCCCTCTCCAGCCCTGCTGGAGCAGACCCTCAGCTATCAGGGCTATGGGGCCAGGGACCCAGGTCCACAGCCCCCTGCAGCACCGCCCTGGAATAGCGGGGTGGTGGTGCAGGGTTCCTGCTCTCCACTGCTCTGGGGCAGGCAGGGGACATGTCGCCAGGGCAGTGCAGAACTTGCAATGGCCGCAATGAGCTTCCCCCCCCATGCCCCACACTTACCTGCAGGAACTGCTCTCCGGGCTCTCTGGCAGCCATGTGCATGTATATGCACACAGTGCCCACAGCCTGACTGCCCTCCTCCCACTCCCCGCTCAGCTCCTTGCAGGCTGCAACTCTTCCAACCTGCAGAGAGCTCTTTACAAAAGAGCAAAATCCACTTGTTTCTCTGTTAACATGAAAAATTCATGGTTTTCTTGGGTAAAGGGAAAATCTGCACTTTTTTCCCCGTTTTCCTGTAGCAAACCCAGATCCCTGTTTATTACTCTTTCATCATTAAATTCTGGCAAATGCTGATAAACTTGGTTCAGTTCAAGTAAGTTGTATCTGGCAATCCAAGTTCCGTCATTCTACTTTGCATTGCAGATGTTGTCAGGTTAGGTAAAACTGTCTATTATAGACAGACCCCTAATTCACATTCTTCTCCCCACAAAGTCCAGAACTGAAGATTTTTTTTCCATTCTTCTTTTTACACGTCAATGTTTTTTTTCTTTTCTTAGCCTATAATGTCACCAAAAACTAGAGAAACTAATTTCTAGACTTTTGAAATACCTCCAGAGTTCCCCACTACTTTTTTCTCACCTATCAGCATACATTTAGATGAGTTACAGAGAAAAAGAAAGAAGACATTCTTTTTCTGGAAAGATGAAAAGAAAAAAATGGATAGTATTAAATTAGTGTATAATTGGATATTCGGTATTGTAAAACTGAACAGACAAGTCATAGCAATATTCTATATAGAGAGGTCAAAGATATTTTTGAGAGATTTCATATCATACTATGGAGATTTAAGAGAAAAATGAAGTAAGTAAAGAAACAGAATATATGCCCAATATTACCACACAGTGAATGCTGCACAACAATAAGGGAAATAATGTTTTAGCATCTCTCTAATATTGTATCATAGACTAATGAAATGCCAATACCAACTAAAGATATCATTCTTGCTCATGTTAGCAGAGCATTCAACGTACAATATATGGAGAGGCAAGACTCACCTTAACGAACCTATTTGTGCTTCCTCACTTGACTTGCACTAAGCCCATGAAAGTAGACAGTGTCAAATTACTTAAATCTGCCTTTCAAACAACATATACTGAAGTATAAGAAACACAATTTTAATGTATTTGATAAAATTAAAATCAAGACATTTCTAAATTCCTACTGAAAGTAGTACAGCATTAAAAGCACATTTGAAATCATGTTACCTAATTTCAGTTGAATTGCTTCATTTGTATTACATTTGTACTCAGCCAATTTCTTCTCCATAGCAGTAAGCCCTGAGAAAAAGATTTTAAATATAGATATGCATAAACTATAATCACCATAATCCAAAGAATCATGCTTAAAATAAAGTTCTCAGAATCCAGGTATTC